ACTGTGCTGTCAGGGAAGAGATTGGAAGAAGATAATCCTGACCTGGCACAGAAAAAAAAAAAAAAAAAAAAAGATTTGAGAGTGATTTGTTGAATCATTTCAATTACACCTGGGGAAACTGAGGGCCAGAAAGATCCTGGAACCCATTCAAGGTCATGCCAGTAGCTAAGTTCTGGACCCTAAATCTCCTGTCCTTTGGGCCAGAGCTGCTTTGCCTAAAGCATGCTTTAAAACCTGCAAAAGAGCGTCAAGATGGCCAGGCGGGGAGACAGTGCCATCCATCTTGAAAATCATTCTGGCTTCTGTCAGCTGATGAAGGAAATAAAGTTAATGACGCCCACATAAATGGGATGCTGTCGCAGGACGTGCACACAGGCTGCCTGGAGGGGAGCTCTGCGGGCCCTTGGTAGAAAGAAAAAGGTTTCTAATGTACCTTTAAAAGAAAAAGTGTTTCCCCTTTTTGCAAGGACAGAGACTGTGGCATCTGCCCCTCTGTCTTCCCTGCAGAGTGGCTAGTTTTTTTTTTTGTTTGTTTGTTTTTGGACACATAAGCACATGGTAGATAAGTGCTTGGTGAAGCAATGAAGGCAATGTCACCACTGAAGCAAATTCATCCCTAGTCTTTCTGGCTATGGCCCCTGTCTTGGATGAAGAGCTTATCAGAGGCTGGAAGGAACTTAGAGGTGTGTAATTCAGTCATTTGAGTTTAGTGGTGAGAAAACTGAGTCTGCTCGAGGGGAAGAGATTGTCAAGGTCATGCTGCAGGCTGGGAGCAGAGCTGGAGTTCTCAAATCATAGTCCACCTGCTCTTTCTACTGCACAACATGGTGGCAACCTCTTTCATAAGGTGGTTTCAAAAATTCTCTAAATATCTCCTTGTAGATCATTACCAGTTTTGCAAATAGGCATAAGTTATGTGCTGATGCATTAGTTATGTGCCAATTCATAGCCTCATTTACTAGCCCCAGGTCTCAGTCCTATTCCTTGGGAACAAAACCATGATATTTTCTTTTATTTCTTTCTTTTTTTTTTTTCCATCATTCTTAGCCCCAGAAAGAGGGTGGGCTAATTTATGTTTTGATTGAGCCTAATGAAAACTTGCCCGAGGGGGCTTCTTTCCTTAAGAAAAGTCCTTGGCCAATTTCAGAAGCTCCTAGTCATTTTCCACAATCCCCAAAAGGCAGTAGGTAAGATTGGAAGCAGAATACAGCTATGCCACCAGGAGGAAAAATCAAGGTGGTCACCTGCCCCTCTTGGCAAGCTCAAAGACTGGGAAGCTAGAGGGCCCAACTCAAGGGAAAACTCATTTACCTTGCAATGGGGTGGTTTCTCAGGACTGAAATGTGAGAAAACTCATTTGCTGTGTTCCTTCTGATCCAAATGTAGATAGCAACATCTTCCCTTCAAGGTTTTGGTGACCTTTCTTAGCAAGTAGGTGCCATATTCAGGATAAAACCCTGTGCAAAGGAGCATCTACTGGGACAGAGGCTGGAAGTGGTGTGGAGCGAAAAGCCAACTGTCTTTTGGGAAAAGCACCCATGGATTGGACCTAGTTTATCTCTCCTGCCTTTATACCCCATTCAAGCACATGTTAGGTCCCTGTATGCTTCACTGGAGGGTTTTGTTTGTTTCATGAGAGGAATTTATTCAAGAAAGCTAGACTTTTCTCCTAACGATAATTAGTAAATCTGGGTTGATTAAAACTTGTTTATTCGGTACCACTGATTCTCAACCGCATGCAATTTTGCCACCCAGGAATATTTGGCAATGTCAGAGGTATTTTTGATAATTCATGATTTGGGTAGCAGATAAAGGTCGGAGATGCTACTAAGCACCCTACAATGCATACGGCAATTTCTGACAAAGAATTATCCAGCACAAAATGTCGATAGTGTTGAGATTGAGAAACATGTTTATATACCACGGGTCCATTTGAGTTACTCAGAGGCAAAGGAATTTTGTTTTACCCTGGGCCTTTTCCAGACACAAGCCTCTGTAAAGGCTCTGGAAATCAAAGCCAAGTTCCCTTTGGCTTGAAAGGAGATTTGAAAGGAATGTGCTTCTACCATACAAAACATATCTTTGCCTATTATTTCTGACCAGTCTGGATATAAAGCCCCATCTACAATTGAAAATAAAGAGACAGAATTTAGGTTACTGAATTTTAGACTGTTACTCATAGAATTTTAGAACAACAGGCTTCTAAAATATCAGAGCAGAAACTCCAACCAAGTCACCTCATTTTAATTATGGGGAAACAGTTGATCAGCACTGGCAATGTTTTTTTGTCTCTGAGGATTCCATGTCTCTCTTTCCTTCAGCTTTTTCTCAGGCCTCAATTCATTCTCTGTGTCAGCACCTTATGAGATTTCTGTCTCACTTACTTGCATGCTTGTTTTGCTATCATTATTGCCATTTTGCTGCTTACATGCGGATGCAGCATCCCTTCTGTTATTGAGAGCCTTTCATTTCCTAGCCCCCAGATTTCCCCAACAAGATGAGCAGCTGGCACCATTTAATCTAAGCAGTACCTGGGTGCCTGAGATGAATGGATTGGCTCACTCCAACATGGTGCCTGTTCCCTGGTGGAAAAGAGGTTATTCACATGGAAACTGCTAGGGAGCTGCCAGTCTGCATATACCCCCACATATATTCTAATGAACCCCAGATTTTATGCTTTTGTATTTTTACCTACATTTTAAAAATGAGTGAGAAATGAAAATACCAACTGAACAAAGATAACCTACTCACTTTACCTCCTTGTGACTCACTTTACCTCCTTGTGACCTTACAGTTCCACCTATCTGAAAAATTGCTGCGGGTGTTTCCCTAGTTCAATTCCTATTTTTATTATTTCATGTTTTTGATAAGCATTTCTGCAACATTTACTCTTCAAATGAAGTAGCTATTCTATATTTTGACAGTGCAATGGTACCACCCCTATCTAGCTCCCATAGTCATGACTGTTGTTTCCTTCTAAATACATGGAATTATATCCTACATCCATTGTAGCTCATGTATGTCTTGGCAAATGTAGAGGAAAGAGGTGTTGAGTGATGCTTCCTGATGGGTCACCATCACTTTACTTGAAGAATTAGCACTGTAGATTCAGAAGCTTATCAAAATGATTACAATGCAAATCTTTTAAACTGTGTGCTCCTTTTCTGAAAGACAATGTCTGAGAGAGGAAAATAAAGCATTGCAAACTCTTCATGAAGGAAAAAGGAGAGGTGGTGGTGATGTGCTTGGTCATATTAATTTGCTCTTTAATCTATCTGGTTCAGTTCTGTGTCTGGTAAACCAAACAGAAAATCGATTTGCATACAAATGTTACAAGTACCCTACCTCCACAGCATCTTGTTGTTCTACTACATAGGTCAGGGAAGAAAGGATCTGATATTATTAAATTAAGAGCGCACTTCCTGCCGTTTTCCCCATAAAGTAGCTACATTTCACCAGGTCCTGGATTGTTGCACTTTTTCATTCTCACTCCCTGGCTATTTACATCCTAAGCTGTGGACAGGACAGTGGCCTATCAAAGAATTATTTTAACTGGAGGTTAGGAGCTTTAGCATTGGGTATCTCAGAGAAAGGGGATCTTTTCGTCATTCCAAAAGAAAGGTATAAGGAAAGGCTGACATGTAGATCCTCACAATTGGGGGTGGGATGTCATCCATTTAATAAATCAACAAATGGAGTAGTCAAACCAATAATTAGTATGCAGAGTTCTTGACAATATAATAATACAATAACTATTTGCTGGTTTATGATGGAGGAGTATAAAATAAGATCACTTATTTAAAAACAAACAAACCTGAAGTTGTTTTTTCAAGTGACTGTTAATCCGATGCCATGGTAAAACATGAGAAGCAGGCATCTAAAATGAGGAAGATTAATGATCCCTGCAGGACATGGAAGAAGAATATTTTTTTTTTCAGTTCATGTAAATGCAATTTATCATAACTATCTCCGAAGATGGCATGATTCACTCACTTACAAAAGAGCTATCTATTTCAGTGCTTCTTAAAGAGGTGATTTTTCACTTTTCAGTTGTACTAACATAAGAATACCAAGCCCATAGGCAGAAAATTTTAACCTGTGAGGCAATGGTTGGGTGAAATCTGCTACCCAGTCAGGGATTGGCATAGACTGAGAAACAAACAAGATTTGCTCATCATTTTAGGATCTGCAGCTGTTGGGTTGATGAAGCAGAGTTTGGAAAGGTAGATGGGAGAGAACAAGAAGTCAAAGTTTCAAAAGGGAAATGCTTCCCAGTATCTGTTCCTAAATAGATTTACTCTGCACCCAAATTCAAAAGCTTTACAAACTGATATCGGGTCTATTCTTTTCCAAGCACTAAGCCTCAGCCCTCCCCCCGCCCCTTGCAGAACAACAACAACAATTAAGAGAGAGAGGGAGGGAGGGGGAGAGAGAGAGAGAGAGAGAGAGAGAGAGAGAGAGAGAGAGAGAGAGAGAATGAAATGTTCTGTGTCCAGTGAGTTTGAGTGCAACCTTCCCCGTCACCGCTAGTTGTCACTTGGCTCCCAGACGGGAAAGCTGTGATTTTCGGCACTGCGGTTAGAAAGAATGCAGTCCTAATTAAACTGAGTAACCCCTAAAGCTTTCCCTTAAAGTCCTCAGCCAAGTGTGAACGAATATACGTACAGGGGTGCTGGGAGCCAGTGGCTGGGAGTGCAGCAGGCGGAAGAACAAACAGCAAGAAACAGACAAACAGCTGCCAGAGCAGTGACTGTCTCAGACCTCCACGCACAACACAGACACCCTGCGGGCGGGGTGTGTGTGTGTGTGTGTGTGTGTGTGAAGGGGGTGAAGGGGGGGAGGTTAGGAGCGGGGGGGGGATGGAAGGATCCGATTGCAGAGGTATACAACACCTCCGCCCCCCAAATGAGGGGACCATGGACAGAGTTAGCCTTCGTGCTCTTCCCCCAAACCACCCGCCCCCCATTTCAGAGCGATGTGGTCAGTAGAAAATCGCATACCTGAAGAATACAATGGTCTCCCAAAGGTATAGACGAAGAGTATTGAAGCTGTACATTTTTCAGATCCTTGTGCTTTGTAGTCCACGAGTTATGGGGCAAAAAAAAAAAAAATGTTTCAAATTGGCACTTACAAAATCAACTAACGCAATTGAAAAAATAATCCAGATGTTAAGGGGAGGTGCGGAACAGGGGCGCCGAAGGAGGAGCCCCAGGGGAAATTGGAGCGAAGGGGCTGCCAGGTACCACGGACAGCGGCGGTCGCGAAACGTTTCAGCACCACGGAGAGCGTCCGGCCCAGCTTTTCAGGAGCGCGAAGAGTATTGCTGTTTGTTAAACTCCAGCGTGTCTGTTGGCTCCCTGCGGCGCTGGGGAGGCACGTTTGGGGGTGGGTATATTTTCTTTTTCACAGTTGTTTTTCTGTTTAAACGGCCAGCTCCATGCAAGGGAAAAAAAAAGAAAAATCTTCTGTGGAGATCAGAGCGTTGGCCTCAGACGCTTAGATTGGGCAAGCATCTTGGGTAGAAACAGGGCTTTATGCCCCTGGACTGGCCTGAGAAGGGTAGGGGAGAGGGGAAAACGGTTGACGGCGCTGCCTTCAGTTAAATCCCGGGGAGTGTGCCAGGCTGGTGCATAGAGACCGCGTCCCGGAATCTCGTTCTCCTTCCTCCGTGCCGGTCAGTTGTCGCCTTGCAATCCCTATTCTCTGGTCCCTGCCGAATAAGTTATGATCACTGCAGGAAAGGTGTCCCATCGCTCGGGGCTGCAGCCATGAGAGAGCTCAGGGCAAGTTTCAGGGGCTGCCTGGGTCCATGGCAACCCTGCGGGGCTCAGTAGCCCTAGGCTTCAGATGCATCTCGGTTTTCTGAGCTCGCCCATCTTCATTTGGCCAGGACTCCTTCAGATCTTCAGACTTTCTTACTGCATTAATTTAACAAACTGGCGGCGTAGCGGGGGGGAGGGGGCGATAGCCGATGGGAGGGAGTGGAGAGAAAAAAAGGGGGGAAAAGTCCTTAGTATCTTCAAACCCTCCCACTCGCGGTGCTCATTGGCCTACGGCTACGAAAACCAGATCTTCTCCCGGTATTGAGCCAATCGCGTGTTAGACTCTGAGTTGCATTTAACCCTTAGAGTGCTGGATGAGATCCACAGATCCATCCTTTATGTGTGGAAGGTGGGGTGGGGAGGTCATGGAGTTAATCTTTCCAACTCTCAAAATATTGTTTTGATTTTTAAAGAATGTAGTTGTAAGTAAAATACCGTGGGTATGTGTGTTTGTATATTTACATTTTTAAATGCGTCTCTGTCTACATGGGCTCAGTGTCTCTTTTTAAAAAGAATTGAATCAAATCCCTGAGTTTCCTCTGAGTTCTAAATATTTATATTCAGTTATAACCCTTGGCTCTGGAAAGAGGGAATAGTTTTCAAAAAGAAGTTGATCAAGGAGAGAGGAAGACTTTCTCCAGTGCTACTGTTGCAGAAAAGTCCAGGAGAAATGACCAGACACCAGGGTCAAGAGAGAACAGCCTTGGACTCACTGCTGCAACTCTTTAAGGAGGTCAGGAAGCTATGCTCTCTTTCATCTGTCATGTTTTGTTGGCATTTTATAAGCGAGGGAAACTGAGGCTCAGACAGCTGGTGGCTTGCTCCAAATTAATGGCAGAGCCAAGTTGTACATGCAAATGTCTGATACTTACCATTCTTACTCCCTGTTTTCCCTTCCTCCTGCCTCCCTGTTTTTCCACTTTATATGGGTCTCGGAAACCAGCTATTCAGTCTATCCTAGAGCCCAGCTGGGAAGTGGGGCTAATCTGATTTCCTCCCAGTTATAGAATTTTTGTAGATTAATAGCTTCTGCAGGATTTTCTGGCTGATTTGAACTTGTTAAAACCCTGGGGACTCTTCTTCCCAGGCTATTGAGAGGGGACAACCCTTTATCCTTATCCTCGTACCTTTATGTACCCCTCTTTTTGAGTGTTTGGAGTCTTGTTACCCCTAGAATAGTTTTTAACAGCTCAATTCTTTCAAGTTCAGGTCCTCTCTCAAGCAGGGAATTCTGGAAAGTTTTGACTGCCAGCCTCTTACCAGTAGGATTTCCCACACTGTAACGACACACCCTCTTTTATTGGTTCTCAGATGTTTTTAGAATTCCCATAAAATTTTGAGTGGTGACTGAAAAGAAAGTGTTGCTTTGAAAGTTTATGTTCACAAGAGTCTGATGTGAAATTATGTATACCAAATCCACTGTCACCGAGTTGATTCTGACTCATAGCAACCCCCATTGGGTTTCTGAGGTGGTAAATCTTTATGGAAGTAGATTGCCCAGTCTTCCTTCTGTGCAGTGGGTTTGAACTACCAGCCTTCTGGTTAGCAGTGAGATGCCTTAGGCACTGTGCTACCAGAGCTCCTTGAAATTATGTATGTGTGTATATATATATACACACACATATATATTTATAAACACACACATATACACTCCTAGGTGTGTATATGTCTGTGTATGTATATACACACACACATATATACACACACACACACTGTATACATTAAAGAGCTAATGTTTATTAAGATGCTTTCTACGTACCAGACACTACTGTGCACTTTACATAATCTCATTCTCACAGTCATACCTGGAGAGAAACACTATTTAGCTTTGTGCATATGATTGTGTACTTGTTTGTGTGTATATCTGTGAATATGCTTGGAAAGACCCACATGTGTATTTTTGTGTATATAGGTTGATTTGAACCCAACCTAATTCTGAAGTGAATTTGAGATGGGTATGTGTGTTTGTATATTTACATTTTTAAATGCGTCTCTGTCTACATGGGCTTATATGTATGCATCCGTGCATGTCATTATGGTGTTCTAGAGGCCCTGAAACAAGCTGTGAGCTGGCAAGTTTGTTCTTGCTTCTTACCTGGCTAGGAGGCACCTGTACATGCAGGTGTGGTGCAATGTGTGTAGAAATTTCTTTTTCTTCTGCTTCAAGGGATGCTGTGTGTGTGAGTGGGAGTGGGGGTGTGGGGATGTTGATCTCTATGAGTGTGAATAGCTCCAAGGCTGTGGGCTGGGCAGGAGATGAAAGTGATTGTTACTTGGGGCACCTGTTTGCTAGAAAGCTTCTGTCTAGAATGAGGCTGATACTTTCATTTAATAAGCACACAATTGAACATATGTCAGGCATTGAGGATGTGACAATATATGAGATAAACAGTACTTTGAGCTCATGGAATATGCAATCACCTCAGAGGTTCAGTGGGAAAAGTTCCTCCTTATTATCGAGTTGAATTTTGACTCATGACTTTAGACCTTATAGCTCTGATGGTTGTTAATCTACGTATTTTACTCTACACCTTAAATATTCCTTATCCCTATTAACAGTATACTCATATCTTACTGTTATTGTGTGGGTCACTTTTGGAAATAAGCAGCCATGAAGTTGGAAGTCAGGGATTTGTGTTCTTATTTTAGCTCTGCCTCAAAATGGCTGTGTGATATTAGGCAAATGACTAAACCTCTCTGGGCTAAGTGAAATGAGACAGTAATGCCCAATCTTCTCACAATAGGAAGCTGTACAGAAGAGATGGCATTCAAGTTTAGTCTCACTGTAACTCACTATGTTATGGAACAAAAATCTTCGTGGACTAGAAAGGATTGCTTCAGCTGATGGTCCATTTCTACTGGTAAGTATTCTGTGTAGTCTAATTCCAGTGTAATTCCAATATTTGATTGGTCCCTAATAAGTCCCAGTAGCCAGATTTGAACCCTTCTAAGTATGAATAAATTTTGACACACAGTGAGATTGATTTTATGACTAAAATTAACCCAACAAACATTTAATGAGCATTTACTATGTGTCAAATGTTCTAGGCACTGGGAATACCAAATACCAAAAAAACAGACCTACCGCCATCCAGTCAATTCTGACTCATAGTGACGTTCATTGAATTTCCAAGGCCGTAAATCTTTATGGAAGCAGACTGCCTCATCTTTCTTCCATGGAGCAATGGGTGGGTTTGAACTACCAACCTTTGGGTTAGCAGCCAAATGCTTTACGAAACAGGCAATGGTCCCTATTCTAATGGAGTGTGTCTTCTAGTTAAAGGGGGCAGATGTTAAATGAGTAAAAGTGTAACAGTCATAAGGATTAAAAAGGAAAAAAGGCAAGGAGTGGAGAATGACATAGGTACTATTTTATATAGGGTGGTCACATCAGGGAATGACTTCTGAAATGGTGACATTTCAGCAAATTACTGCAGGAAATGAGAGAGTGAATCATGTGAATCTTGGGGAGTGGAGGGAGAACATACCAGGCAGTGGGAATAACAAATGCAAATTCCCTGAGATGGGGGTATGCTTGGAGTGGACATGGAACAGCAAAGAGGCCAGTGTGGCTGGAACTGAGTGAGTAAGGGGAAGGTAGAGAGAGAGAGGAAATGAGGCTAGAGAAATTGTATGCTAGATGATGTACTATCTTCAAGGCATATTAAGGACTTTGGGTTTTATTTTGAGTGAGATAGGAAGTCTATGGAAGATTTTGTATAGATGAGTAATAAGATCTGACTTAATGTTTTAACAAGATTACTCTGGCCACTGTATTTAGAATAAAATTTGTGTGTGTATTGGGGGGTAAAATGAAAGAAGGGAGACTAGTTGGAGGCCACTGGAAAAAAAAATCCGTGTGGGAAATTCTTAAAGACTGATCTTATTCACACTTTGTTTTAACAGAACAGGAAATTCATGACTAGAGCAGTCAGGAACTTAACTCTTAGCCTAGTAGGCCTAGTAGTAGAGCAGGGACAATAACCCAGATATTCTACCTCTAAAAGATCTTTCCACTTTTTTTTTTTTTTTTTTAAACTCCCAATGAGATGAAGGGCATTTATTTGGCATATATATATATATACTTGGCACAGTGCCTGGCACATAGGAGGTTCTCAGTAAATATTTCTTGCAAGGATGAATGGGTGAATAAATTAAAGAAGAACAAAAAGATTCAGATGGAGGGCAAGAGAGGAAAAGGAGAGGAAGGAGTAGTGTTAATCAGGTGAGATTATGTTGTCTTGAGCCTGCTAATGCAATTAACACACTGCCAAACCTCTATCTAAGATGACATTCACAGAGGAGAGAGTTGGATGCTTCAACACTGCTTTGACAAGCTTCAATGATACTTTGTAAAGAGAGATGGATATTTGGAGCAACTGAACAGCCTGGCTAATTGTGCTGAAGTATTATGATGAATATGAGTCTGAAAATGGGACTGTGGAAAAGCCTTTCCTCCAAGGAGTTAGAGGCTTACTGCCTGACTTTCCTGACCCAACTCAGAGAATGCACTTGCTGCAGTTTTTATTG